GTAAGTACAGGACATTTTCCTCTCCCTATTCCTCGAAGCAAAATTATAAACACCTAACATTAACCTCTAAAATGTCTTAAATATTACAATATGTCTGCTTGTGTAGCCATATTGTTGATAGTTTGTGATGAAGACATGTTGTAAATACGTATATATATATATGTGTGTGTGTGTGTGTGTGTGTGTGTGTGTGTGTTGCTCCTCGTGTGTGTGTTGCTCCTCGTGTGTGTGTTGCAGCGGCCGGCATTAAATGGTAATATGTACGTGATTTAATAGATCAAAGGTGTGTTGTGTTTGTGAGAGAAAACATCAAAAGCTGGATGTAAAGCAGGCTAGGGCTCAAAGGCTTCCTCCCTAAATAGTTGGGACTAGACAACTTTCTCCTAGTATGAGTAGTCAGGTGTGTGGATATAATTTTTTTTAACTGGTAGAGATCGATAGATAGATAGAGACAAATAGACAGAGAAGACTTGACCTCGATACCCCCACACTACAACACCCACACACCTGATCCCCCCAAAACACCCACACACCTGACCACACCAACAACACCCACACACCTGACCACCCCAACAACACACCTGGCCCAACAACCCCCACCACACACCTAACCCCTAACAACACCCACACACCTGACCCCCAACAACCCCCACACACCTGACCCTCAACACCTGCCAACTAACTAACTTTACCCAATCTTCCTCAACATAAAGATTTCCTTCCTTCCTTCCTTCCTTCCTTCCTTCCTCTCCTCCTCCTCCCACCTGAGTCTTACACCACCTTGTAAATATTACCACATAAGCTGCTTCTCGTTCTTGAGGTGAATTAGTTTTGTTTATTTTTATCTTACGACTTTCACCCAAAAAAAAAAAAAAACTCGTTAATTGGTTTCTAAATAAAGTGGTAGTTAGGATAGGAGAAGTGGTGTGGTGAAGAGATTGTTGAGATAAGAGTCGAGAGGAAAAAAAAAAGAGATCAGGGTAAATTAACTCTTGAATGATAGTTAAATATTGGATATAAGGTAATTTGATCAAGGTTAATTTCTGCTTTTGGTTAGGTTAGGTTAATTTTTTTTTTAGTTGGGTTAGGTTGATTTTTTGTGTTTGGTTGGGTTAGGTTAGGTTTGGTTAGGTTAATATCTGTGTTTGGTTGATGTTGAGTTTTTTATAGTTAGTATTATTATAAGACTCATGTGATGATGATGACGTTGGTGATGATGATGAGGATGATGATGATGATGATGACGTCGATGATGATATTGGCGTGATGGTATCGATGATGATGAGGATGATGATGATGATGATGACGTCGATGATGATGAATGATGATGATGATAATGATGGTTGATAAATTGAGATATATATTGAATGTTTGTTTATATTACGCAATTTTGGATATACGCAAGTGACGCAGGATATATTGGTAGAAATGCGTAAATCTGACAAGCCAGGAGTGACGGCTGTGAGGTAACTCGTATTGCCTAGGGAAGGAAGGGAGAGAGGGGAGGGGGAGAAGGGAGGGAGAGAGGGGAAGGGGAGAAAGGAAAGGGGAGGTTGTTAGGCCTCTGGAGGAAGGGAAGATGGTGCAGGGAGGCCATATATGGTGGTGGTGGTGGTAGTGTTAGTAGTGGTGGTAGAGAGAGAGAGAGAGAGAGAGAGAATTAACTGAGATATTCAACTATGGTCGATGTAGTACTAGAATATCACCCAGGTATAGTTCTTCAGCACACCGCCTCCTGTACCACCACGCTGACGAAGGTGTCTTAAAGGACCTCTGTGGCTGGTCTAGACGGGGGTCCTCTTTCCGTCTTTACCGCCACCCCTAGTGCTCGGTTCTCATCACCTTGTTTACTAGTTTCGTTAGGTTGTGTTCTAGTACGTAGTGAAAGGTTTGTTTTGGTGTGTTATCCGGCCCAAATACTCGATAACCGGGGTCTACAGTTGTTAGTCCATATGTAAACAGTGCAGATTTAACAGGCGGTGAGGTGAAGATAGGTGTGTTGGAGCCAGGTAAGGTAGGTTAGGTGAGATAGGGACAGGTGAGGTGGGACGGTGAGATAGGGACAGGTGAGGTAGGAACTGGAGTGAGATGTGGACAGGTGAGGGCGGGGACAGGTGAGGTGGGACAGGTGGTGGGACAGGTGAGGTGGGACCCAGTGGGTGAGGTGGGAGCCAGGTGGGGATGGGGACAGCGGGTGAGGTGGGGTGGATGTGGGGTGGGGTAGGGACAGGTGGGGTGGAACAGGTGAGGATGGGACTGGGTGGGGAGTGGGGGCCAGGGTGAGGTGGGACAGGTGAGGTAGGGCAGGTGAGATGGGGACAGGTGAGGTAGGGACAGGTGAGGTGGGACAGGTGAGGTAGGGCAGGTGAGATGGGGACAGGTGTGGTAGGGCAAGTGAGATGGGGACATGTCAGTAAAAGAAAATATTACAGGGTTTTAAATCACATCCAAAGAACTTCCCTTATGAGAAAATAAAAAAAAAATCACTAGAATATGTCTTCGAGTTTGGTGCGTCTTAAAAAGTAAGTGAAATATGGGTGGCGGATACCGTAGACTTTTACATCTTCAAGATAAATAAAGAAATTAAACAGAGGCATCAATGACCCTCTATAAGGTCAAAGGTAACGAGGAGTTCAGTGGGGTCAATGACAGAATAAACAGAGGTCAATCGTCTCACTAAAGGCTATAACCATCAGAGAGAATTAACTACGTGTAGACTCCAAGGTTATCACGGTGGGTTCAGACAGTGAAAGGTTAAAACCGAGATGTCAAAGGTCACATGAGCAGCCTTAAAGCCGCTGTCATTAAACTTTCAGATATTAGATGTCGTCCAGTCTTGTAAGGCTATAGAGTGAGATGGATTTTTATTTAGTTTAGTTACAGCAAGATTAAGGCGCCACCAAACACTGTGTAAATATAACGAGAAGAGAGAGAATGTATGTGAGAGATAGTGAGAGAGACAGAAGGTGAGAGAGACAAAGTAATTACCCCCAAGTCACCTTCCCATCTGTGTCCTCTCACCCCTTCCCCACCCCCTTGTCACCTCCTTTCCCCACCCCTCCCCCAGCCACCTCCCCACCTGAGACCCCCTCGCTACTCTATACAAGTCTGTGATAACAAGGCTGGGGAATTAATCTTCTTAAGGTAGAACTCAATCCTGTCTAAAGTGGTCATACACACACACACACACACACACACACACACACACACACACACACACACACACACTGCTGTTTGGTTTGCCTTCTCTCTCCTCTCTCTCTCTCTCTCTCTCTCTCTCTCTCTCTCTCTCTCTCTCTCTCTCTCTCTCTCTCTCTCTCTCTCTCTCTCTCTCTCTCTCTCTCTCTCATTGATAACGAGAGTAACTGAGATTGTTAAGTGTCTGAAAGGCGTCTGGATAGAGGAGAGTACAGGTGAGGTCAGACAGATGAGCTAGGAAACAGGTAATTTATAGGACAGGTGAGGCTGGGACAGGTGAGTTAGAGGACAGGTAAGCTGAGGGGATGGGAGGAGGAACAATTCGGCTGGGGACAGGTGAAGGGAGTGAAGTCATGACATTTTCTCATACTTTCAAATCTATAAGAAATACAAGTGTGATGGAAAGAGGACACACACACACACACACACACACACACACACACATTACTGTCATTATCCTCCTCCAATAACCTCACCCGATGACCCCTTGTTGACATTACCAGCTGTTTATATCACCCCAAGAGTATGGTAGTTAGGTCATGAGGAACGATCAGAGAGCCAATAACTCTTACTCAAATGGCCACTTGTTATGAGATGGATGAGATGGATGATGTCTTTTTTTTTGTGTTTATAAGAGGATGATGGAATGTTATTGTTTGATCATTTGTCCTGTAATTGTGTTTGTGTCTGTGTTTGAGGTTGTGTTTGTTGCTACGTTTGTACCTGTGTGTGTGTGTGTGTGTGTGTTTCTGTCTGTCTGTCTGTCTGTCTGTTTGTTTGTCTGTCTGTATTGAATTTAACTCGCCCCAATCTACCCTAACCCAACCCAACCCAACCCAACCCAACCCAACCCAACCCAACCCAACCTTCTATGATTACAACCAGCTACACGAACCACTAAACCCGGATTCAGATTCGCTAAAGATTCACTAAAGATTCACTAACTTAATTTCACTCCCCAGCTGGTTTTACGAGAACATTATCTAGTTAAGGTTAATCCCAAGGTATAATCTCACTTTAACCCGCTTCAGACACTATTTTCGTGTTATGGCTTAATATAACCACTTAGCTGTATTCGTACACATGACCTTACGAGGAATATTTTAATCTTATTTTTCTCCAAGATTATAAGCATTGAAACTGATGACTTTAGGGTTTTAATACCTTGTGAATGATGAATTTACCTGTGTACGATGACTTTATTCGGGATATGATTACTTAATTTTTTGAGTACGATGACTTGATTACCTGTGTACGATGACTTGATTACCTGTTTACGATGACTTTATTCGGGGATATGATTACTTAATTTTTTGAGTACGATGACTTGATTACCTGTGTACGATGACTTTACTCGGGATACGATGATTTAATTTTTTGTGGACGATGACTTGATTACCTGTGTACGATGACTTAATTACCTGTGTACGATGACTCGATTACCTGTTTACGATGACTTTATTCGGGATATGATTACTTAATTTTTTGAGTACGATGACTTGATTACCTGTGTACGATGACTTGATTACCTGTTTACGATGACTTGATTACCTGTTTACGATGACTATACTCGGGATACGATGACTTAATCTTTTGTGTACGATGACTTAAGGTATCATACTCAAGGGGTTAAGTCATCGTACTCATAACACACACACACACACACACACACACACACACACACACACACACACATTCTCCCTCCCTAATTTACGAAACCTCCGCAAATAACAATTATCTTTACCTATTCACTAATTAGAATTAAAAACCTATTCCTTCTATACCCAATAACCCCTCCTCCT